TTATCAAATTCGCGATTTTAATTGGTCAATCAACAAATAGCATGGGTTAAAATTTTGTGTTCCCTCCTGTTAATTTTGTGTTCCCAGAACGGTCTCTCCTGTTTACCAAACCCTTTTAATTATTAACATATTGCCAAGGGGACGCCTTTGGAATATAAATGGTTACATTAACAGATCTTTTATCCAGACTTCAGGTTGTAAGATAAAGAGTTATTGGCTGTAAATTGGAAGTTTTAAGAAAATCAGACATGTTTCATAGGTAGGCTATTCTAGACTAAGGGTTGTAAGATAGTGAAATCAACTGTAAATCAGAGGTTCTAAGAAAATCAGACATGTGTTGATATTTGGGCTTAGGGTCAGTAGGCTATAATTCAGGGGCAAAGTAAGGCCAGCCATGTGTCAAACATAATAATTACCTGGTAAGTGAGTAACTCGGATTGCACACCTGCAGTAGTATTGATGCTACTGCTCATTATAGTTATGATTAAGCCCAAAATGTTCATGTGCCACATTCTGATCAACAGGTAAGTAAGTTTAATTATCTTAGTCCATGCAAAGTCCATTTATTTGGTATTCAAGATGAAGCAGTAAGGGAACAAATCAATTATGTTCTTAATGAAGATGAAATTATAGGTAAAGGTCCTGATGGTATGCTTAGTATGATCTTTGATGGAATTCAGAAATTGAACAAAGATGAAAACATTTAAAGATCACCTGTGATAATGCTAGTGGACAAAAAAATAATAATAATACTATTTGATTTTATTTATATTTAGTAATTTGTGGTTATTATGAAAGCATTGAATTGAATTTCATGATTTCTGGACATACTAAATTCAAATGTGATGGTAAATTTGGCATGATTAAAAAACCCTATAGAAGAACAAGAGTAGATTGTCTGGATCATGTGGTTTCAATGGTAAAAAAGTCTAGTCCAGCTGGATTAAATGAAGCTCAGTGTTATGAAGGTGGAAAAGGTTTTCAATAAAGCATATTTTTTTTGAATCAATTAGAGGTTGGAATCGACTAAAAATAGTCAACTAATTTAATCAACTAACTTTTTTTTAAAACAACTAATAGTCGACTACTTTAGTTGTTTATTTAGTTGACTATTTTAGTTGATTATTTAGTCAACTATTTTAGTCGACTATTTAGTCGACTAATACTAATTATTATTATTGTCTGGCCAATTATAAATGAAAACGTTTTTTGTGGTACAAAAAAATTTAAAAATAAAATAATGGAAAATAATAAAAATAAATATGCGGAGTATCAATATTATGAAGAAGATGATAATGGTGGTGTTGGTGCTGGTGTTGGCGATAATTATCCATGCGAAATAATAAACATTGATACAAGGTCAAATCATTCCAACAATTCGTTGGCTTCGAGCTCAAGCAGTGGTTCCAGACCTTTAAAAAAACGAATTATAACATATAGCTTCGTATGGAAGTATTTCGAGAAAATTAAAGATTCAAATGGAGATGAATTTGTAATCTGCAAATTAAAAAAAAACGTTAATAATAATGAAACAGAATGAATATTCTAATTAAATAGGATGTTATTCCCGTGATTAGTGTGTGACCATTTTGCGAAGCAAATGGTTACACGCTAGTATTAAAAAAATTTAGTTGACTAAAAGAAATTTTGACCAACTAGTAGTCGACTAAGGATTTTTTGGACGATTCCAACCTCTAGAATCAATTATTAATATTTATTTTACTTTTTAGGTGAATCTCATTACTCCAACAATAAAAGAGAAACATTGATAAGAATTTTTGATGTTTTTGAATCCAATTTAAAGGAAAATTTCAAGCATAAATCGGATTATTTAAAAAAAGCAATATAAAATTTTTTGGTATTTTTTGTAATTACTCAACACTACCATATAATTCTGGTTCTTACTTGTGCAATGATCGAATTGAACATAAAAAGTAAGTTTAATGCTTATTACTTTTATAGGTGAAAAAACTGTTCACTATGTTGGCTATCAATTTCAACACATTAACAGATCTTTATCATGATGCTAAGGATCTTGATAACGGTTTGTGTGTCATTTTACCCTTTGGTGAACTTGGAAGAGGCGATACTCTTTGGTTTTTTTAATCATAAGAGTTGCTTTCCTAACAATTGAGGAAAAAAAATTTTAATATTTGTAATTATCTTTTTTTATCTTATAGCTGTAAATTTTTTATCCTAATCAAAATTAGGTGATGTAAATATACATAAAAATTGTTCAAATAAAGAGATACAAACATGAAATTAAATAGATCAAGCTTTTATATTACAAATTTTTTTTTTATATATATAGCAAAGACATTGAAAAAAAAATTAGTAATAGATAAACTTTATAAACAAATGAGATGGGGCAAAAGGCTCTTTGTAACTTTATTATAGAAGACTTAAACAATAAAACCATAAAAGTTTCATTCAATTTTATTATGAAAAAAAAAAGTTATTAAAGTAGTAGGTTGTAATCTTTAAAGATTGCAACCTACTTACGTTAGACTGTTATCTACTTATGATTAGTGATGATAAGTTCATGTTTCTGTCGTCAGACCAAATATGATGGTGGCGAGCTTTCGCCATCAGGCTACATTCGAACATTCATATATCAGAAAGACAACCTGAGAAAATACAGTACAAAATGTTAAAATAAAATTAGCATGTAATTAATCAATTTTATATTTACATTGCGTCAAAGTCGAAATTACCCGAATTAATAATGCTTCTTCATTTTCAATAATTGTAGATTTTTTATCACGCCTTCTTGTTGTGGTATCGTCCTATGAGATAAAAAATGTTTTCCACATATCTAAAGGTTGGCCTACAAACTCCTAAATTGCGACCAATTATGACAATTGGAAATGGATGTCTAAATATATTTATGATATTAACGACACATCAAAAAACAAATCAAACCTTATAAGAGCCGTAATAAACGAGACTTTTTTCTTGACCCTTGTGATCAAAAATCATAAAGATCAATCTAACAAGGTATTCCTGGACAAATTAATCAATAAAAAATAATATTTTTTTTAATAATAAATTATCATACCAGAATTGTTTCCCGGATGTTATTTTGGTTATCATAAAATTTAGAAAGTTCCAACACCTTTGAATATTATCACTGAAATAAGATATTCCTTAATAAACTATACTTTCTATATATATTTTTTTGCTTTATATATGCCATGTATATTATTTTCTAATAAAGATAATAAAAACCGAAGTTAGAAAATACTATAGTGCAGGACATCTATAACGGTCAATGATTATCACATGATTTTAAAAGCTTATAACTCCTTATTAAAAAAATTAAAAAAAAAAATAAACCGATAAAATTAAAGCTAAAGACCTAAGCTTCATTTCCATCGGTTTACTTTTTCATTTTATTAGAAAAGTTTTGAGTTATAAGGCTTGAAAGTTAGAACATTTTATATATGTCTATATGTAAATTGTAAAATTTCGGAATGATATTCCCTTGTGGTTTCCTAAAAGGTTGATGATCGGCTTAAAAATTTTCCGTGATACAGACAATCTTTCCAATAAAAGGAATATGATTACTTAAATTAGAAAGATCTTCTAAAATTTTAAGTTTCGGACTATTGACCATTATAGATGTCCTGCACTGTATTAGTTTTTGTTACACGGGATGAAAAATTTTAAAATTATTATATAGACCTAATCTGAAATACGATCAATAACAATTAAAATCCATGAAGATTATTAGATCAAATCTAATAAAAATACAAACAATTAGAAGAAAACAAATGCTTCTTTAAGCAATCTATCTTAGAAAGTTTTTTTTTTATAATGGATAACAAATAACTCTATGTTGTTTTAAACATTTATTATATTTTATTGTTATTTTTAAATTGATGAGTCGGTCACATGTCCAACCCTGCGTGCTGACTTTTGACACAATATGGTTTTTTTTTTAAAAAAAAAATTTACAAACAAGTATAGATTGATTCTCTATACGATAGAATGATGGATTTTTTTATATGAATTGACTCCTTTTTTAAAGCTGAATTGAATAGTGGTGGGTTTTTAAAAATCCAACGTGTGAATTACATAATATTTCAAAATCTTTATATTAATATATATTAATAACGGGAAAGAAGTTGACAACCTGGTCACTTGATGGTCATTTGTTTCGCCATTACTATATCATGCTAGAAAGTCCTTCTGATGAATCTCTCAGAAATTTCGCTAAAAAATTTTAAGTATGGTGTATTATAATTCTAATTCATTAATTATAATAATTTTTAATGAATGATTTTATATTTTACAATTTATTTATTTTTTAAATAATATTCTATTTCTTGATATGATCGCTGGCAGGTTTTTTTTTGATTAAATAAAATAAAACTGAACGCTCATATTCGGATTCTTTGCCCTCTTGGCTTTCTTGATCACAATAGAAAAGAAATGGCGATTCAGCACGTTTCAATTTATCAATGTGGGAGTGATGAATATAACAAAAGCTATTCTACCTCAGATAACACAGGGTATATTACGGGTCGGTCATCATCATCTGAATACTCGTAATAATATTCAGATTCTTTACCCCATTGGTTCTCTTAATCACAATAGAAAAGATGTAATAAATATGACCAGCCACAAAAGAAATCATAAAAAAAGAATATAATAATGATTGTTGTATAATATTATTTTCTCGTACTTTATCCTTATTAAATTTTCCTTTTTTTTAAAAATTCTTATAATCATCATTTTTTTGATAATACTTTCCCAAAGGTGAAGAAGAACTGTTGTCAATAAATTTCCTTTGTATAATAATAATATCCACCCGTGTTAGAACGTTTCCATTTAAACTTTATTATATTAAGTAATCAAGGCTAATTAAAAAAAAAAATAAAATAACGATATTAACCATTTGAAAGGAAATGATCCTTACCTTTTGGTTTTTTTTTAACTTTAATAACGTTGTCATCAAACAATTTATCTGTTGATTTTTGTAAATCATTCCAAATTTGGAAATAATTTCCCAGTTTTTTTCATTTTAACCACATAAATAATAGCCCCCGATTTCTTTCATATGTCTTCAAGGGTTCTATATACTAGAAGCGTTTTGTTTGATAAGGAATTTCAATATTAAAGATTGTATAGTGATTAACAATGTAAATTTACAAATATATTAAATTCTACCTATAGTTAAAATCCTTTATATACATCAACTTCGGCATAAGGTGCAGCCTTTTTTTGACATCAAAGTAATAACCCTTCTTTGGCAGCGAGACCTCTTTACAAACAAGTTTTAAATAAATGAAGATTTTTTTAAAAACCTTGACAATTAATTGACTATTCACAAACCTAATATCAGCAATAGTAAATCTTGAAATAATTATCCATATCGTGCCAATGATAAGTCTAATAATGATTTTAAAAAAAAAATTTTTAAAAACAAATAAATCATTTGTTATTATTTATAAAATAGGTCTACCTTCAGCACCAATATTTGTCAGCGAAAGAAATACTATGATGTTTAATAAATTCCAAAGCTTTATTTACATTTTCAAATGCAACTTATTGTATCTGCCAAAAGGCGAATCACCAATAATTTCTTATTAATAAATAAAAAGCCTCCAGATTTAAATAATTTAGTTCATTTTTAGAGTGTCATCACATGTCTATTAATTAACTGTTTTACTATTAGACGTACACCATTTATATAAATCTTCTACGGGAAGAATATCTTTTTTATAGCTAGCTTATTGTTGACCTTTTTTTTAATGATACGGAAAAAACTTATTATTATAAAGAATTATTGAATTATTACCATTTAAACATCAAATTAATTGCAATTACCTACCAGGTACGATCGCTAAACACGAAAAAAAAACATCCTCGAATGTTGTTAATTAGCTAAAAGTTTAAAAAGTGTGTGATTATTCATATATATTTTTTTGCTTTATTTTTTATTAAATGAAAAACATTTACCTGTATCCTCAACAAACCTGCTGAAGGCTGTTTAAATTTTTTTAATTCATAATAATAACGTGTAAATTTGAATCGAGCCATGGTTGTACAAACTGGTTATCATTTTTATCAAAAACTTTTTGAAATGATGATGTAATTATAATATTTATAATATAAAAATAAATTAATAACAACAATAATATTAATATAATTAAATATGACAAAACTCAACAACGAGTATCTTGCAACATTTAAAATTCTTCTTATCGGTAATTCAAATGTTGGAAAATCGTCTCTTTTACTAAGATTCACTGACGATACATTTTTAACACATGACGAAGTGTCAGCAACGATAGGTAAATTATTTGTTAAATTGCAACGCACGCACACAAAAGACATTAAATCACACACACATATATATAATATAATAACAGGTGTAGATTTTAAAGTTCATGAAATAGGTGTAGATGGGAAAAAATATAAATTAACAATATGGGTATTTATTTATTTATTTTGCATATTATTTTATTAAATAAATAAAAAACATGATGATTTTCAATGATTTTTTGAAATATTTAGGATACAGCTGGTCAAGAACGTTTTAGAACACTAACATCCTCATATTATCGTGGTGCTCAAGGTGTCATCCTTGGTATGTATATGTACGTATATTTGTATATGTGTATATATAAGTATAAATACAATTCTAGATAATTTATTTTAATATATGAAATTATTCTTTTTAATGTTAATTTTAATTTTTAAGTGTATGATGTATCCAATCGTGAAACATTTGATCAATTAGATGATTGGTTTAATGAATTAAACACCTATTGTACAAGCAAGAACATAGTGAAAATGATAGTTGGTAATAAGATAGATAAGGTATTTATTTGTAACGTGTAATTATCACTATCATTACCGTTATTCATGATTGATTTTTAAAATTATTGAATTAGGAAAATGGAAGGGCTATTTCACGTAAAGAAGGTGAAGCGTATGCTAGGAAATCACAAACTTTATTTATAGAATGTAGTGCCAAGACAAAATATGGAGTAAGAGAAGCATTTGAAGAACTTGTTAGAAAGGTATATTATATAGTTATGTTTAATACACTATTATTGTTATTGTTATTTGATAATTTTAGATATGATTAAAAGCTAATTAAAGAATTATTTACTAAACTTCTTTTTTGTTATCACTGTTATTTAGATAATTGAAGATCCAAATTTATGGCAGAAAAGATCCGAGACGTTAGATAACAAGATCGATATAAGTTTATTAGATCAAAATCAACAAAACCGTAATGATGGTGATGGTTCTTGCATTTGTTAGTTCTAGCAATAAAAATCTTTACAAAAGTAATTATTTAAATATAATTTTCATGTGAAAAAAAAAATTTACATTATTTGTAATTTTCAACATTTCATAAAAAGATATTAAATGATTAAATTTGGCAATTTTAAAAATATTTAAAAATATTTTCTGTTATATATGATATATAGTATATCTTTTTCTTTGTGTTTAAATGTTATTTGCACTTATAAAAACAGTAAATGACTCATCATTTAATATTTAATAATTACAATATTCATCTAAATAGGTAAAATATGACACCTACAAATGATAATTAAATTTAATCATTAGTTTTCTATTTCGCATAAATTAATTAAACAGATGATAAAAAGGTACCCTAGAAGCCCTTTTCCACCCCATCCATGCCTAGGTGTTAGATGCAATACAATCAATTGTGATGAATGTGTTTCCCCACGTTCAACTGTAATTCCAATATTTTTCTGATTTTTGGATTTATTATTATTGATTTAATACTAAAAATAAATAATTATAATCTTCATAATTATGATTATATACGTACACCAACATTCTCAGCCACAAAAGAATTTAAAGCATTAAGGTTTTGATTATTATTAGAATGTATATATCCAAATCTTATAATTCTATCACCTTTTGTTAATCCCTAAATATTTTGTGGATTAATGATAATAAAAATTAATTTTCATCATCTCACCTCCCAAAAAATTTAATAATATAATCAATCAGCAATTCAATTCCTATTTATTACCGCTTCTTTAGCTGGTGAATCAGGCGCAATTGCATTCACTATTGCAAAAGGTTTAGGTTTCCCAACTTTTTGATTTTGTGATAAAGAGAAAAGATCAATTTAATTAATTAATTAAAAGATCGCATCATTATAACTATAAAAATAATAAATTTACGAATCAAAATTACTTACTTGATTCGTCATTGTTTCCTTCAACTAATTTGTTTGCTTTGTTTTCTGCATGTATAGCATGTAAAGCCTTTTCAATTTCTGACATAACTGCTTTATGGTCATTCCTCAATGCTTGAGTTTTTTAAAAAACCCAACCATAAATTAACTAACTAGTGTATTTATTATTATAAGATCCCCTTTATTTCAAAACACTTGTTATTATATACACAAACCAATCTTTACCAATTATTTTAGCACGAGCAGTTCTTACGGTTACTATGTCTATGTCGGAACGAGGAAACCCTTCGTGATCAACTAATTGTTCAGTCATTCCTATTCCTTGCTTTTTATTGATGATGTTATACATATTAGATAATAAATAGAATAAATAGAATTAAATTGGTGACAAGTATTGAAACTAAACTGATTTCAAAACTTTCTCCAAGTCGTCAAGCTGATTTTCAATTTCTTCTTTTTGCGACATTAACTCCTGTGCTTTTAAAACCGTATCACTTTTTCTTATTTCATTACCCATTTTTTTAAAATTTATTATGATGCGAAATTAGATTATTATTATTATTATTATAAAAGAACCTGGAAACTTCTGATTGAGGAGGTCCCAATAAATTTTCAACAACTACCCATGGATTTATTAGAAAATTTAACCCATTAATATTAGTAACATTTTTTTAACATGTAAAAAGTTGTTTTTCTTTTTTTTTTTTAAAAAGAAAAAAACATGCCATGACAAAAAAGAAAGAATTGTGGTGGTGTTTGCGATTATTACAACTTGTCATCATTCTAGTAAGTTATAAAAAGAATGGTGGTGGTAGTTGTGTTGCATTGCAACTTGTCATCATTTTGTTTTTATTTTTATTTATCTACTTAATATTCAAATAGAAAAGGAGGAAGACCTTTTACCCTCTTCCTCATCATCAACAGCAAAATCAACCAACAACAAACCACCAAAGTACATAGAAAAACAAGTAACAAATTTTTGGGGAGTAAGGGATATTAGTGATCAAAAGTCAAAAACAGAGGATGTAATTAGACACATCAGAGAAATAATACATGAGACTGAGGAAAAAAAAATCAAAATTACTATTTTGTTTCAGATTCTTTTGGGGAATATACTGTTGCTAATGACTATGAAACATTAGCATCTTTTGAAGAAAGAGAAGAGGATACATATGCCTTTGGAGAAGAAACTGGTGATTCTATTAACAGAACTGAACATTGGGTAGAATTGGATGAATATGATTGATGATAATAGAGATATTTCTGATCCTTTAGAATTTATAGCTGTAGATTGTACTATACATCCTGCTGATGATCCAATCACCAAATGGAGCCTGTGTAGTATTTTTGGTGATAATTTAGAATCACCTAATTTTGTAAATTCATTGATAAAATTAATAAAATTTTGAATTTAAAATTAAACAATATGTCATTTGAGCCATTTGAGGTCATTTAGTCATTTGGAAAAAGAGTTATTAACTTGGGTTGGTATTCTTCTACTTGCTGAAATTGGGTTTTAATTTTGTTTCCTAACTTTATAAATTTATTTTCTTTCTTAAGTAAACTTAGTAGAGGTTTAGTGGCTAAATATAATTTTCATTTTCATAATATTTCTTAATTTCTTTGGTTAATAGTTCTTAATCTCTTTTTCTTTTAATTCTTGTATACCAGTCATTTCAGTATTTAAAGCCTCTTGAATGTTGGTTAAATATATTTTTTTTCTTGTTCAATTCTTTAATGTATCCTTGAGTTTTGAGAATGTACTATTCTTTTTTTGTCATTATCATTTAATCTTTTATAAATTGTTTGCTGAGCAGAAGTAGTATAAGCAGCAGCTATTATTTCTTCAGTTCAACAGGTAAATTATTTTGATGATAAAATTGTTTTCTTACCAAATATTCCTTATTCAAACTGGCTGGTATTCTAATCATCCTTTTTCTTTAACTACTTTCCAAAGATTTTGATTAAGTTTGAGTTTTTCTCAATGTTTTCTGATAACTTCTTTAAACTATTATTGTATTCATTGAAATCTTGGTAATTCATGTCATCATATTTTGGTTTAGATTTTTTAGTTCTTTTAAACCTGGGATAATCACTTTCTAAAATAAGTTGTTGAATTCTACTTACCTTTATTTTTTCCTATTTCTTGAATGACAAATTTTTCAATTAAAAAATTAATTTCCATTGGCAAATGATTTTATCTGTATGTATCATTGAAATCTAGTTAACATCTTAGAAGGTTTATCCTTATATTTTTTAAATCAATGCTCATTCAATTCATCAATGACTTCTTTTACTTTTTCTCTTTAGAAATAGTTTTTCATCATTTATATTCTTTATAATAAATATTTTTATAGTTGCCTTGTGATTTTGCATTTATAATTCCATATTGCTTTGCAGTAGAAAAATACTTAGATTATTAACAAAATTTCCTATTAGGAGATGCTCATTATGTAACGAGTGTATACAGAGATAAAGAACCCCGTTAATTATATTGGTGGTATAATGGTGAGGTTAAACCTTGAAATCCTCCGCATATGGTGAATCCTCTGTAATACAATGTCATGCAGTATTTTTTAATTTTAATGGATGATTTTTACTATAATAATGCACTAAATGCACTCAGCCGATCATTAATAAAATCCTTTCCTTCACGAATTAAATGACTTCTACATCTTCGTTTAGATCGTATGGAGGTGGACCACCATCACCACCACCACCTCCACCAAGAAGTAAAAAACTATACGGTAAACTACCGTCACATCAAACTCAATCTTCTAAATCATCATATGAAAGAAGGCTGCCATCATCTTTATCACATAGAAATGATTCTTCCTCATACAGTCCATATTCTCGAACAAGTAATAACAACAATAACAACAGCAGTAATAATGCATTACCGCCACCATCACCAACGCATAATAACAATTCATCATATTCAAGGAATGAAAGTCATCATTATCAACAACAACACCACAATCATTATTCTTATCATCATCGTTCAACATCCTCTTCTTATTCCTCCTCCTCCATTTACCATGGATCTTCTTCATATCCATCAGAACAACCATCACAACCATCACAACCATCACTACAACCCAATAATACATCAACTGTCAGTAGTTCTTTAAATGTTAATCACTCTCCACAAAAAACTTTATTTGAAACACCTACAAAACCTATTCAAATTCCTGTATTTGCTCCAACATATGAAGAAACTGTAATAATTTTATTTTATTTTTTTTTTTAATAGATAAATAATTATATTTTTATTTTTATTTTTACTTGATTTATTAATTATATTATTTAATAAATTAATATTTATTTAAGTGGACACATTGTAAAGTTGAAGGTCAACGATTAAGAGAAGCAGAGGTTAAATTAACGGAGAGTGTTAGAAAATCACAAATAGATCTTGATAAAGCAAGTTGGGAATTGAAGAAAGTCATTCATCAAACTGCTTTGGCAACTAGACAAATCGAAATACTTTTCTCTAACAACGAAAAAGAAGTTGAAGCTTTAAATAAATTAGCAGAAAAAGAAATTGCTGTAAACAAAGGTGAATTTAGATTAAAATAATTTTTTTGCTATTGTAATAGTTATTAAATTTTTAATTAATTTGGTATTAACTTTTTAAAAATTTTCAAGAAACCTGATAGATAATAATAATCATATATATATACATTAGGATATATCTTTAATATATTGTTACAGCAATATTTACCATCATCATATTATCATTATAATTATGAATTATTTCCTTTAAATTCTTATTTTTATTTTATTTTTCTGTGTAAAAAACCTTTCACAAGACAATTGTACAGCAGGATATGTATATAATATTCCAATATTTTAGTGAGAAGGATAAAAATATACTTATCACTCACTGTGGAAAGTATTATTGATTTCTCAGATGCTTGATTTTTATGTATATAAGTAAAAAAAATCATTTCAACATTAATTGAAAATATTTTTAAATTTATATTTATATTCTAGAAGTGTAAAAATGGGCAAGAAATTAATTTTATCCATTGGAAAACAAACAAGAATATATTTGCAAATTATATAAAAAAGAAATATATAAATTTGTGTTGAAGTAATATGGATAAATGAAGAAAAAGTATTTTATTGTTGTTATTAATTATATTATTATATTATTGTTTAAAAATTTTCATATATGAATGAAATTAGGAATTGAAAAAAATACAGGAAATGAAAGAATTAGGAAAAAATTATTAGCTTGCATCAATTATTCGATTTTGATTTTGGTTAAAAATTTTTTTTCCTTTTTCCTAATTCATTAAACAATTTTCTTGATTTAATAATGATATATAAGAAAAGATATATATTTTTTATTATTGCAAGAAAATATATATTAATATTTCCTGAAAAGTCTCTATAAATAAATCCTATTTGCAAGCTTATAACCCAGTATTTATATACAGTCAGTACACAGTAGAATGAACAAATAAAAAAAAATAATAATAGTAATAAAAATAAATAATAAAAAATAATTTAACAATAATTAAAAGTAAAAATTATTTCCTTTTTAGTTGATATACTTCATATTCTTCTAATTCTTGAAATTTATCATCCTTTCTGAGATTTAAATTTTCTACATACGTGTCATTATAGCTATAATGACAACAATTACTCTCCATAAATAAATCACCATTAAAGATTGCAAATGAATTATCGTTTATCAATGGATTAAGTCGCTTGAATAATCCTCTAAAACTAGTATTGCTTTTACTTAATGTTGACTCATCTAACTGACATTTATCAAGTTTAAAAATAAAACTTTTAAACTTATGAGAAACTGTCGTTTTTTTCGTCTGATTATTTTTTGGATTATTTATATAATTCCAACCAATTGGATTGTAGCCTCCAATAAACTCCCCTGTATTTTTAATTTTCATAACAACTACAGTTGGTTTGACATTGTCACATATTTTATCAAAGATTTCTTTACCAAACCCATCTTTGGATCCACGTAGAATTATCTCAAATTTATATGGTATAGTGTTACAATCGTAGACGTTATAATCATTTCCCTTAATCCAACTAGCAATGAGACATTTAGTTTTTATGTTTAATAATTCTACTGTCAATTTTGTTGGATTACCTATAGCTAATCGTGGACCTTTTTGAGTGGATGATTTTTGTTCAACAAGATAATAATCTTTGATTTCTTTGTATATAAGTTTATCAAATATTCGTTTAAAAGGTTTGACCTCGTTATAGAAATCATTCGAAGATATTTGATTAAATCTTATCAATGGAAGAAGTTTAAGTATTTGGTTTTTTAATTTTATAAAATCACCATCATTCCATTCAGGAATATCTTTTACTAATCCAGCATTGACAATCCCCCATCGAAGGATGCAATTCCAAATTTCTATTTCTTTTAGAGGTATATTGTCTTGTTTCAAAATAGCTATAAGCAAAGACTCTTCAATATTTTCTAAATTATTTGAATGAAAATATAATTCTGGGCAATGAGACATTACTTTTTTTTATTAACAATCAAATAATATTATGTTAGTATTATTAGTAGTATTGGTAGTAGTATTAATTTTCACAATAATGAAATAAACCAACCCTCAGCACAATAATCTTGAAATATAACAAATCGATCATTCTCAGATGAAGTTCTGTGAACGTAAATTATATTTTGTTGGACCCATTCTTCAGCTTCGTTGATGAGAAGGTTTTGTAAATCGTCAAACAATTCATTTAAACGTAATGCATCACAAGCCTTAAGAAGGTCAAGAATTTCATTTGGATAAAGATTGTTCTTATTAATAACTCCACTATAAACATAACTTTAAAATTTTTTTAGAAATTAACATTGATTATTTATCTATTTATTATAAATAAATAATGATTGATTGATTGATAAATTTACTTTAAAACAACTTCAAATATTTTTGGGGGAATATCTTTCATTTCAACAATAATAATTCCGTCTCGGAAAGCTAAACCAGTATTAGTATTCGGAGTGTCGTCGTTATCAGATTTTTCAGATGAATGATTTGATAAAAGAGCAGCGAAATGAGGTGATCTTGTTTTAAAGATATTCGAATGAGCTTTAAAAGTTTTGGCATCATCGGTTCCAACTATAATCTCCATATCATGAGAGTTAGAGTTTAAAAGTTTTACAATATCACTTAAAAGTTTTTCAGTATTCTCGTAACTCACTGAAAAACTTTTTTGCTTTTCGCTATCGGTAACATTTTTTGAAGGAGTTGCTAATATTTTTTTTAATAATGATAAAGAATTCGACATTTTTTTTCTAAAAAAAAAATCCCCAATTAGACTCTCTAATAAAAAAAATGAAATTTTTATTTGGAAAACTTACGGAGGACAACAGATTCGTTTGTACTGTGTAACAAAACATCATTCGTAATATCGAAAAAGCCGTGCCATTAATCTTTTTATGAGTCTTCTATGTAAGCCATAGTTATTCAGAAACATCATTATTTTTCACTTCAAACTAAGATGTTTCCAATAATAATACCCCACTAATGTTGATAATCAGTCAATCAACAAAATTTGACGCCCAATCGGTCGAATTAATAATATTATTATCGATCCTTTACCTTTATCGCCGAGACCATATTAATATCATAAGAAACGACAAATCCAATTTTTACTGTAACGTCCCCATTTTTACGATTAAAAACTCACTAATATTCCAAGGCATAGATATTGCCTGAAATTACTCTTCTTAATAATATTAATAACGATCATCGTCAAATAGTAATTTTCCATAGTGATGGTAGCTAAAATTAATTTTGATCAGTTATTTTGATATTAATATATACAAAGATTGTCGAGAATCCGACAAATGAAAACTAATTTCAGCTAACATATACAGTCCACTTTCTCTATAACGGATCTTATTAATATTAATATTATAATTGTAAATTTTGTATGAAACGGATTTCACGTATACGTGTAATTGAATTTCTTGATTTAAATCCACCTAATTCAAGTTCTAAATTAATTTATTTTGTTTCATTATTTTTAAAATGTCATTAGATAAGAGAAAATCTTTAACTGTTTTGGTAAAAAGAGAGATTTGTTTAGCAAACCGACAACTAATTCCAATAAACAAAGATTTAGCGACAACTTAAAGTCAAAAAAAGTAGGATTTAATTCAAAAATACCAATACAACCTAAATTAGATGGTTTTTTTAATATTAAAATTGAATATTTTTTTTTTTTACGTAATAATATAAGTAATAAACATTTATTTTTTATGTTTGTTAATATTAAAATTACACGTAACTTCATCTCTATAATAACAACGGATATTTTTTCTAATCCCAATGATCCGTTATAGAGAGAGTGAACTATATGTTCCAAGTTTCCTCTTTCATTTTCGTGTCAAAAAAAACCAATATTTATCATCTTTAAAAGACTAAACGCTTATCATTTGAGTAGAGTCGCGATCAAGTAAAGCGAAGAGTGTAGTAGTAGAAGCAGGTGAAAATTAGTGTGGTTTGTTGTAATATAATAATAGTTTGGTTTAGAATTTAAATCGTTACTATATTTTTTTATAATAATTTTTGACGCGTATTTCAAAAAATTTTGTGCAGTTATGATAGTTTAAATTTACATACCATGAAAATTGAAACTTTAAACCATTCATACAGAACGTTTCGTGTAACATTTATTGTGGTTAATAATTCAACAATTCGTTGTTAAATTTCAACCATTGATTAATTTGATAATCGTGGAATATTATTCAATTCAAAAATAGGAAAAATCAGCAGGATCATTAGTATTAGTCGAGATGACCAAAAGAGATGATTAATTTTCAAATGCGGTAATTTGGTTGATAAACTTTAATGCCAATATTTTTATCCCTTCCCTCTAGAAATTCACATTGCAATTATAATTTAGTATTGTTCCGCACAGATTTTCTACTGCGTCAAATTTTGTGACGTCGAATCAACAAAAACCTCATTGGGAAATAGTTATTAATCATTTGTCGATACTTCTATTATCGCCCAAACCAATCAGCACCCAATAGACCAATTGACAAATCCTGCCATTGACTGGTTGGATCACTAAAACCCTCTTTAGTATAAGATAATCATATTTCTGCCCAATCAAAGTAAAGAACTGCAATGGTAAGTGTTTCCTAAATGAACAATCATTTATGCATCTCAAATTCCGAATTGTAGAAACTTTTTACTTTCTTAAAAGATTTTCTTCATTCCGCAAGAAAATCGTAAATTTACTTTTCCATTTTTAGGCATCTATTGGATAATAAATGCTATTTAAAAAGTCGATGTTTTCACTCGGCACTCAAATTTTAGATTTATTTATTTATTTATTTATTAAAAAACTAATTATAAAATTAATTTATAAAATTAATTAACAAATCAATAAAATTAATTAACAAATCAATAAAATTAATTAATAATCAATAAAATTATTAATCAATTATGGCTAATGAGGTTAAGGATATAGAAACAGGAAATATACAAGATGGAAATCAGCAGGGACAACAAGATGGAAATCAACAGGGACAACAAGATGAAAATGTAAATTCAGGAAAAATTGATGACATATTTGCACAATTAGAAAATACCAAGATATCGATTAAAGAAAATCTAGAGAGAGAAGAACCACCATCATGTTGTATGCGGTGTGTTCATACTAGTTGCTGTTTAATTACATGTATTGTTTTAATAGCTGTATCTATAGGGTCAAGTGTTTTAATGTATTTTGTTTTGAAGAAATGGTTGAAAGTAGTTTAATTAATAATTTAAAGAGAATGAGGAGAGGGAGAAGAGAGCGAGAGCGAGAGAGTGTGAAATTTATAATTATTATGAACTATTTTTTTTTTTTCAATTAATTCAATGAGTAAATTATTTGTATTTTTATTATATTAATTTGTATTTTATTATATTATAATATAGAGAAGGGACTATTTTTTTGGAGAAAGAAATCATTAAATAGATTTACATTAAATAAAAACTAAGTTTTTCCGATAAAATTTATTATTGACATCATAATTATATCTTTGTTAAAAGTTTTTTTAATTACATCATTTATTATTTTCTCTCACACTTTTTTTTTATAAATATCTGATAAAAAATTTTATCAAAAATTTAAAATTATTCTCAATTAATTAATTATCTTTAAAAAAAAATGTCACTGATTGATCTTGAAATAGGTGTAGCAACACTTAAGGGTGACAGAAAAACTCAAATGGATAGATTTGATGTTGGAAATCATTTCTTAAACAGAGATTATTCATTGCTTATTATTTATGATGGACATGGCGATGAAATATTTTCAAGAGTTTGAATTTATTTATTTATTAATTATTGACTATTTAATTAACGAACTAACGATAACTTGTTAATCTAATTAAAAAAATATATCTTTTAGCAAAAAATTTAAAATTATTCTCAATTAATTAATTATCTTTAAAAAAAAATGTCACTGATTGATCTTGAAATAGGTGTAGCAACACTTAAGGGTGACAGAAAAACTCAAATGGATAGATTTGATGTTGGAAATCATTTCTTAAACAGAGATTATTCATTGCTTATTATTTATGATGGACATGGCGATGAAATATTTTCAAGAGTTTGAATTTATTTATTTATTAATTATTGACTATTTAATTAACGAACTAACGATAACTTGTTAATCTAATTAAAAAAATATATCTTTTAGCATGCTAAAGAACATTTATCAGAATTGATTACAAATGATTCAGAATTCAAAGCAAAAAATTATAAACAAGCTTTGATAAATGGTTTTCAAGCTGAAGATCATTGTTTAAAACAAACTTTTGGTGATCGAAAAAAAGGTGGAACAACTGCTACAGGTAATAATGTAAATTTACAAGTAGATAGATTTGAATTTAAGATTATTAAAATTTTCTTATTATTATTTATTTACCCTTTTAAAAAGCTGCTTTATTTTTGAAAAAATCAAATTTTTGTTATATTGCTAATGTTGGTGATAGTACAGCAGTACTTGGTACTGTTTCTGGGAAACCACAAGCAATCACTGTTTCTAAAGATGATAAAGTTACTGACGAACAAGAAATGAATCGGTAAATTTATAATAAAATTATAATCAATCAATCAATCAATTAATCAATTAAATATTTAATTGTGCATGTGTGTGCTTGCATGTGTTGATGGTAGCCTTAAGTCAGCCAAAGCAGTTGTTGAAAAATGTCGATTACGTCGTCCAGGTCATTCTGTTAATATGACTAGAGGTAATTATGAGAATGAAAAGGGAGATTTGAAAAATCTTTTATTAATGAATGATATTTTTTAAAAATTTTTTTTTTAGCTCTTGGGGATTTCGATTTCAAAGCTCCAAATACGCCATCTGGTGAAGATTGGATTTCAACAATTCCACATGTTCATGAAATCAATTTAATTCCTCATGAGGATGATTTTCTTATTATAGCTTCAGATGGTAATTAGTGTAAATATATAATAATAATAATCATATTATTATTAATATTAATATAAATAAATAAAATATTAGGTTTGTGGAATGTATATGATGAACAAACAATAGTTGAGACGATCACAGTCGCACTTGATAAAGGCAATAATGCTTACGAGATTGCATCTTCGTTAACTAATTCTGCAGTTGTTAAATCCAAACCTTATAGTGATAATGTTACAGCCATGGTGATATTTTTTATTTGGACAGATAATTAATAACTCTTACTATTAATACTATTATTACATAATATAGATAATTTTTTAAGTATGATTTAATTAATACACAATAATTAATAAATTTTACAGATACAGACAGGATAATTATTTTTACAAATAATTCTACAAATACATTATGATTCGACTTATTTTTATATATTTTTATATATTTAAATAAAATTTTTCAAAATTTTAATAATGATAGTTTATTCATAACCATCTTCTTCCACGTCAGCTTTTAGTTCGTACAAGATATCATAACATTCATTTAATAACGCCGCGATTATGCCTTGACCTTCTGGTATAGATCCATCATCATCGATAAATTTCCCATCTACTCGAAGATTATCAATTGATGCAAGTTTCATCTGATATGGATAAAGTTCTCTTGCTATCAAAAAAAAAAATAAAAAATAGAGAAGTGGAGGAATAAAGAAAGAAAAAAAAATTATTAACAAATACAAAATATATTTGTATTTATTTGTTTTAATTTACCTGTAAATGGAGTACCAAATTTTTTTATTTCTTTTAAAAATTTTCGTACTGTTTGAAGTTGATTATGAATTGGCATTAAAGGTTCGGCAATTGGTTCACTAGAACTAAGAAGCTTATATATTAAACGGTAACATTTATGCAGTAAATAAAGGAGCACCTAAGAATAATAACAAAAGAAAGATATTGTTATTATAAACTTTTCCCCAAAAAAATAATAGCAACAATAATAATGTTAATAATAATTACCGTTTGACCTTCAGGAACATTTCCGTCCTTGTCATAAAATTTTCCATCTTTTCTCATATTATCAATTTCTGTTAATTGTATTTGATACATCCATAAATCTGTTTCTCTTAATGTCCAACGATGAGTTAAAACCAAATTTTCAAGTTGTGACTTGAGTTCAATTAATCAATCATCAACCAATGAATTGATCAAATCAGACTCGAGTTTTTTCCTGGAACGCGTATTGGGATATGGTGTATTGATGTCAAACAGTTGTTGATTTGATTTTTTTTGTTTAATGAATTCGTATTTGAAATTTTTGATGATTTTAGTGGCTTTGGCTTTTAAAGTTCTTTTTAAACCTATGCGAGATTCTATACTAAGTTTTTGCAGCCTCACATTTAACGATTCAAGCAAAACTTCAAGATGCTCATTTCCAAAATCGTACGATCCAAGTATTTCCATGACTTCAAGTGGTGGATTTGATTTTTTCAAATATTGCTCTAATGAGTGTGCACTAAAACTGAAAACCCCTTTTAATTCCAAATGCCTCAACTTTATTAGATTGATTTCTTTCATTAGTTTATCAATATTTAGAATGTTTTCATTCTTTTCACTTTGCCAGTTCTGTTTCCAACCTCTATCTTTGACGATTATTTTTTCAAGTTTATTGCATGATAATAATATTTCTGATAGCGATGGAACCGTTATGTATATACACAAATCCAAATAAACCAAATTAGTAAAATATGTTGAAATATGCATTGCGATAGTCACAAAATCCATTTGAAAACGATTTTCATCGTAAGTAAATTCCCTCAATTTGGATGAATCGTTGAAATCGGTTGTTGTCAAATAATTGATTGGTTTGATGATAAGAATTGGATCGTTCAAAACAAATTTAAATTTCACCAATGAATGTAATTTCTTTTCTACCGGCCAATGTCTTTCACCAGTTTCAAGCCAACAATGCTTAATGATCAAATCTTCTAATCCTTCCAAGTTTAAAATCCTTGTGATATAACCTCCATCATGAATCCTATTTCTTTTTAGCACTATTTTCCTTAGATGCTTTGATTGGTATTCAAGCCCTTCAATTATTTTTGGAATCCCATTTTGAGTATAAAAGAACATATGAAATTCCTCCAATGCATTTTGATTTTT